AGACCATACTCTAATGCCTTTGTAGGAAGGAGTTATATTAAGCTTGCATAGTCAGCCGTCCCTCTGGCTTTTTGTGACTTTTTAGGCGCTTAATCTCATAAATATCCTTTTAGAGTGGCTATGAGACTCAGGAATGAGGTGAACTGTGGATAAGAATGTAAACATGAGCAAAAGCCTGAGCTCAGGTATGTGCTTACCACTGCATTGAAGCCCGTGCAACAGCATAAGCATATTTAGAGAGAAACCCCATCGTGTGTAAGTGTTCCCAGTCAGGAGGCATTAAACAGTAAAAACAACAGTGTGCTCTTTATTCCCCAGAACAGTCTGTTTCTAAACAGTATCATGTTCATACTGTTTTTATGAGAAAACAGATAAATAGATAGCTGTGTTTATACTTGTTTATAACTGATTATGTATCTATCATCTATTGTTGAGTGGCCTACTGTGGTGTCACTGGAGCCACAGGGTTCAGATCTGCGAAGCAGGGCAGGTTAGAGGGAGCAGGGACATCCAGGGCTCTTGAGCAGTGGTGTCACAGCACTGCCACCCTGCCGGGCTCCCAAAGAGGCCCTGTTAGCAGCTCCCATCACAAAGCACATGCCCTCTCCCAACTGTCACGCCTCTCTTTCGTTTTGTGACTCGCAGCTGAACATGATGGTGCAAACTAAATTAGCCTGATTTAATTTGCACTCAACTCGGTGGGGGATGTTATAAACACTGATTTACTGTGTGCAGGAGCAGCACCGGAAGAACCGAAAAGGTTGATTGAGAGAGCATAGGTCTTGCTTTTTCAATGCGCTCCGAGAAAAATGGTCCCTGGTACCCACAGGGATGGCCAGGGGGGTCTGCATGAGTGCAGAGTGTTCACAGCAGGACTCTGTTGGACATGACGGGATGAAAATCTGTTGGTCTCAATTGGGTTTGCACAATGTGTGTAATCAGCTGAGCAAGAATCATTTAAGGCTAGGAGTATGCTGGACATAGCTCTGCCACAGGCCGTGTGCAAAACTGTGGTGCGGGACACGCAGTTTCAAATTGCGGTTCATTTTAATGTTGTATACATTGTTTTTTATATCAGATTTTGTACTTATTTACTTCACACCTCTTTAATGCAGAGCAATGTAATTGCAGGGAGATTATTTTGCTATTGATTACTTGATCCAGGAAAGAAACAGAATTCATCCATGCTGTGAATCACTAAGCATTTGCAGCAATAAACTTTATTGAGCCACGTGACTTGCTGTTACAGAATTGTAAAGAATGCTTTACTGGAATGATTATACCAAACCATGTACAATTCAAACTGAATTATCTGGCTCACAATAAAATGTTTTTGGCAAGGGCACCTACTCGGACACTGTGAGGCTTTTATATTGCTAACAGAATAACATTTTCTGGGCAATTCTGAAGATATATTACTCCCCATTTCCAATGTGCATTGTGGAAAAAATGGTCTAAAAGGCTGCTGAAGGATGCATTCGTTTGTAACCACAGCATTTATAGAGATGCTGAGCTTTGCAGTGGGTGGTATTGCTCTAGCAGAAATGGAAGTAAAGTGGGGCTGCAGCTTAAGACTAGTATTGCTAATAAAGGTCCTTTTTGGAAAAGACAGGTGCAAACAACAGCAATAGCAAATAATGGCTGGAGCGTGAAGAGGAGATGGATGATGAGGTATATTGTAACAATAAGACTGAGATGAAATTGAAAGGAACTAATCAACCCTTTGCAAACCAAATATTCAGCTAGAGCTTATTGCTGCAAGATACACACAAACACACAACTGGAAGTGTTTCAGGTTTCCTGGATATAGTTGATGCACACATTTAGTGTGCAGTTGGGGTACAGCAGGTACCTGTCGGCCTCGCTGCATGCGTTCTGTGTAGTCAGGGCTTCTGTCCAGGTGGCAACAGGACAGGCTCTACTCTCAAGCCTAACAGGATTCAAAAAGGGGTTAAGACTTACAGCAATGACAAGGATGGCTGGAGCGGTCATGGCCTCGGTGAAGAGCTGTGGCAGACACCTGACATCTGGCTTCAGGCAAAAGGCAAATAGCTGCCCTCTGGGGACAGATTACCCCAAAGCAAATCACCCCAAGATGGTGGGGCTCTTGCCCTTGGACAGCTAGGGATGACCACCTTTGGAGAGATACCAAGCTGGGCCAGGTCTGAGTATTTCTGCCTATCTATTTATTTATTTCTGGGCAATCAATTAAAATTTGAAGTTTTACATGTTGTCGAGATGCTGCAGTGTAGTTCTCTGAGGGCGCATCTCTTTTTCACCAATTTTACAGTGGGGCCAACAGGACTCCTGCCTTACCTAAAACCATGTTACGGTCGTTTGTTTGGAGGTATTATATTCATGTAAGTGGCTACTGCACAAACCACCATCGTGGCTGGCCAAGCTGTGCCAGAGGACTTTGACCATACAACAAGATGCTCTGTGTAGAGTGAATAATGTTGCTTTGTTTTTAATTATTAAGCAGTACATGTAATCCTAACTCCATAACCCACAAAAGGGACCTCTAAAGGGCAAGTTGTCATTGTACTGGAGCCATAAAAGTGAGGACTTTGGAGCTTTTGGAAGGAAAAGCCTGTTTCCCAGGGCAGGCAGTGCCCAAAGGCTGGCAGCTGAGCAGAGTAGGTGCAAGGGCAGTGATGGGAATGAAGAGACAATGTGGGAACATGGAGTCAAAGCCACTGCCAAATCCAAGTGGCCACCAGTCCTTGCTCACCCCCTCTCTAATCCTGCAACCCCACCAGGAGACTCAAATAAAATAATGGGATTTCAAAATTTGCCAACCTTAAGTCTTTATTTCCTTTGTGAGCTTTTCAGGCCAATGTTTCAAGCCTTCTGCCCAAACACAGAGGGCTGGGAGACTTTTCTGCCAACGTTAGTCTTGCTGGACTTTAGCTGAATGCAACCCTGTGCCTCAATGTGGAAGAGGGGTGAAAAGCTGGAGTTTCCCACAGGTGTGACATTTACATCCAGATTCAGAAAAGTTAAGGGCAAAAATCCCCTTTGTTATTATTTACAGTGCCACAGTGCTGAGGGGGGGAAGATCAGGTCCCCAGGGTGCTAGGTGCTGTGTGACCCAGAGAGCAGGACTTGCTGTCTACTTAGAAAAAGAAGTACTTCTGCAGTGCCCACGGGGAGCTATCCGTCTGTGCTCAGCCTGGTGCTCTGCAGTCAATGCTTGATCTGAACCTCAACCTCCTGAACCTCAGCCCACCAGCTCCTCTTCCCTTTGCGTACCAGAGCGTTGCTGCTGTGTAAGCCCTGTACGGCTGTGAGCCAAGGTTTTTTCCACAAGCAACACTTCTTTCTCACGGGCACCCAGGAGCTCGAGTTATGATCCTGTCCCAAGGTCTGGGTCTTGGCAAGAAGTCAGTGATTGCTGGGCAGTTCTTCTGCACACACGCCCCTGCACATACCCATGCACCCCATGTCACCGTCCTCAAAAATAGTTGCAATACTGTGCTGAAAGAGAAGGGAAAAAGATGATCTTTATTTTTTTTTCTCCTGCTCAGGGAGCAGCTCCTTACAGAATGAAATGCTAACGAGTGCCTTTGCCTTTCCTTCCTGCTGTGTCTTACACTGGATTAGACCTGAAAAGCAGTATCACCAAGCTTGAAGTTCAATTTATCAGTGCAGTCAGGATTGATTTGTTACACTACCTGTTCTGGGGAAATTAATGTCTCCATCGCGCTCCCTTCCAATGCAGCAGACCTTTGTTTTGCTCAGATCA